ATAATATCTTTAAGCTTTTTGAATCTTTCTTTGTAGTGAATACTATATCGTATTTTGGTATTATGCACTAATCTATCTTATGTTAATAAGTGCATTTTTCTTATTTGTGATGTTAATGTCGATATATGCACGAACTGCACTAAGTTCCGATAAGTGACAAGTTAAACTACTAGAGAGCATTGAGCATAATCCAGTAGTCTGATTATATATAGATGATATTAATTAACTGAATTTGAAGGATGCAGTAAAATATCTTATTTTAACCTATTTAACCTGATGGGATAATTTTACTAATGATTGTTTCACTGAGAATGTATTGTTATTCGGAAGAATAATACATTTTGTTTATTACTTCAGGGCATTCTTTGTTAATTTTCATTCTTCCCTCACTCTTGATACAGATCTGTTGTGTATCTTCTGAGATATTCTCAAAGATAGTAATATCCAGAACTTACCATATTATATCGACTGTTCACTATGACCTTACGGATTTTGTAACAGAGAATGATGTTGATCATATTCTTGAAAATTAGATTTGACTTTAGTTATATTTCAAACTCTTTTTATTCAGTTATTAAAAATGTAACATTATCTTCTGAAAAGCTAAGCAAACATATCCGGCATTTTTTTAAAATCATTTATACGTAAAACTTCATAGAATCATTATTCAGTCATTGAAGTATTTTCTATGGCTTTCTATATTTGTACATTTTGTTATAAAGAACGATTTTAATCTTGATTCGATGAATTCTTCAAGGTATCTTTCAATATTATTTACATGTAGGAATTAATGACCTCATAAGGTGTGTTGCATGGAGCAAAATAAATAATAGGCTAATAGGTGGCAGGTTTTGAGAATACGTTGCTTACAGAGGAACTTCCTGTTCCAGCTCCTTGATGGTTCGCTAGATCGCATTTAAAAATCGGAGGACAGGCGTTGCCTTGTAGCAAAATCATTATTCCATTTCATTACCGAATAAAAATTATTTTCGGTTTCGATGCGTTATTCAGAAAAGTCATTTATTAATTATAGCTTTTCTGCGTAAAAGTTTATGCAGATGAGAGTATATCGTAATGAAAAAATATCCTTAATCCTATTAAGCACGAAAAATATTCTCTTCACATTGTATATTTAGATTAAGTTGCTGAATACTGCGTTGGATTTAGACACAGTTTTTGTTTTTCGACTCTCATAGTACACCTATTTTGAACTCTCATAATATATCCATTTTCTGTCTATACAGCATTTGATGTTACACCACAAAAACTACGACAGAAAAAACTGACCAGCAATAGCTTTTACGTAAAATAATATTAATTTTCTAAAACAAAACTGTATAGATTTCTATTTGTTATTATATCATGGCGTGTGAATATCTTGATCTCAAATTACTGTTACCCTTGAATCATACCAAGAAGAAAAAAAGACATTTTTCCCTCGTAGATTAGGTTTAGATGTTGAGGACTGTGCTGGATATAGCCACAATTTTCCATGTTTTTGGACTCTCATAATACATTTAATTTATATCCATGCAATATTTGCTTCTACATGACAACAATATCACGGTGAAGAACTACATTTTAGGAATTTTTATATAAAATAAAAAAAAAGAACTTAAAACAAGAACTTTATAGAAAACGTCTCTTTGCCTCTGCCCGTAACGAGTGTAAGTGTGTCCTCAACGAAGCTAAGTCACTATTTGCTGCTCGAATGAAGGAACGTATTGCATTTCGCAAATTAGGCTCCAAGGATTATTGGCGTCTCTGCAAGAGCGTACTTAATAATAGTAAACCCTCTATACCTCCTTTGTTCAACCAGTTCGAGATTCTGACCTCCTCTGCCGACAAGGTTGAATGCTTTGATCGGAAATTTTCATTCAATTCAACGCTTGACTCTTCCGGTGTATCCATACCCGATTTCCCTCTTAGAACTGAGGCCCTATTGAGCGGGTTGCACATAACCCCGTCATTGGTATTGGGCATTATCTCCAATTTAGACCCTCCCCCCCAAGGCTAGTGGTGGAGATGGAATACCAGCCATTGTCTTGAAGAAATATGCGCCTGAACTGGCGCCCGCACTATTCAAATTATATAACTACTGCTAAGGAATCTTGTTTTCCAGACTGCTGGAAGTCCTCATCCATTGTTCCTGTCTTTAAGAACTCTGGCGACCCCTCTGACCCTTCTAATTACCGTCCTATCAGTCTCCTACCCCTCTTCGGCAAAGTCTTCGAAGCTTTAATCAACGCCAAAGTGGTTAACCACCTTACATCCCATGATCTGCTCTCAGACAAGCAATATGGTTTCCGCTTTGCCCGATCTACAGCTGATGTACTTACGGCCATCACTAAAATTGTCTACCAAGCTCTTCAAAATAACGGAGAAGCCCGTGCCGTGGCTCTAGACATCTCCAAAGCATTTGATAGGGTTTGACATGCCGGCCTTCTTCGGAAGCTCCAAGGTTATGGAATTACAGGTCGATTGTTTGACTTAATACAATCAGTGCAGTCAAAGCGTGAATTGAAAGTCGTTCTCAACGGATTCTCCTCCAGCTCCTATCCCACGAACGCAGATGTTCCCCAAGGCTCCACCCTAGGCCCTACTCTGTTCCTTATCTTCATCAACGATCTCCCTGACATCATAGATTCCCAGGTAGGCATCTACGCGGACGACACTACAATTTACTCCTGCCTCAAAAACAAATCTAGTGTCGCTGACAATACTAACCTGGCCGTGCGTCTCGAAAAGGACCTCCAATCGGTTGTGGACTGGTGCAGGAATTGGCTGGTTAACTTTAACGCCTCAAAAACAAAACTTCTCTCTATTAATCACCACAGAGATCCTTCCCTGCCCCAACATTAGAACGTCTGATGCTCAACTTCTTGAGAGCACCTCTTTGCGGCTGCTCGGTCTCACATTGACTACTGATCTGAGAGGGAACAAATACATTGAGTCAATTGCTTCGTCCACCGCAAGGAAAGTTGCATCCCTGTTCCCTGTACCACGCCAGGAAATTTTTCTCCCAGGAATAGATCCTTCAAATCTACACATCAATCATTCGCCCTTGCATAGAGTATTGTTGCCATATATGGTCTGGTGCCCTTTCTGTTTGCCTCGGGGTTCTTGATAAGATCCAGAGACGGATATGCAATGTAATTGGCCCTGATCTGGCATCTCGTCTGCAGTCACTCTCTCACAGACTTGCCGTCGCCTCTCTGTCTTTTTTACAAATACTTTCATAGTAATTGCTCCGATGAGCTGCTTTCTCTGGTTCCCAGACTCCATGAATTCAATCGTCCTACGAGGCTGGCATCCCGCTTTCACCTTTTCACTGTTGAAACTGTTAAATGTAGCCGTCTTTTCTACTCCAATAGCTTCATATCTCTCACCTCTCGCCCGTGGAACTCCCTTCCCTTTTCCTGTTTCCCTAATAGCTATAATCTCCAACTATTCAAATGTAATATCAATCGACATCTCCAGTTGCCTTGATCTATCCACTATCCTTCTCCCCATCCTTTCCTCTATCACTCCTATCTGCTCTCGCTCCAAATCCTCTGTAACCCCTTGCGTGCTAGTGGCTTCTCGCCTTGCCTGGGGTGAAATGCTTAAAAAAAATCTCTTACTATATCATGGTCAATGAATAACTTCCTTTCAAATGACTTACCTTTGAATCTGATAAAACAATGAAAAGAACATTTTACTTGACTAGATTCTATTTAGCTGAGATGTTGAAGTCGAGAATTTAGTCACGAGTTTATTTTTTCGATTCTTTTAATATGTTTGTTTTTCATTACTAATGACAATTTGCGTGAAATGTATTTTTTGTCGAACAAAAAGAAACAGCGACTTTTTAAAACAGTTGGAACTCATTTTCATAGCTTTTGTTTCTTTTCCAGGGATTGTAAACAAATTGTAGCAAGCTGACTGACTGCACAATCAAAAGAGAACTGAGTCAACTTCAAAGAATCTTGTAAGATTTTTTGTTGCATCATATTAATATATAGAAGTGATGAAAGATTCACCACCCGGCCAAGAAACCTTTAAACACCGTTCTGATGTTTCTTAATTTGATCAGATATTGGAAAATCGAACGGATGAATTTTTTCAGAACCCACTCGTATATATATATATATATATATATATATATATATATATATATATATATATATATAATATATATATTATATTCTTATTACTATAAAGGTTATTTTTTAGTCGTTACACCACGTTGTGTTGACACACATTTTATTTTAAAACTGAAATTAATGTCAACCGGCCTAAAAGCGAGAAGTCGTGACGAAAGAAAAACATAGCTCCAGACAGGGAATACAGGTTCAATCCCTATGGGAATATGTGTTTATTGTTACTAAGAACTTCACGATTTCTAAACCAGTTGACATTAATTTCATTCTTTAAAAAGAACAGGAATCTCAGCTCAGACACGTTTACCCACCAAAAATAAAACTTATAGTAATACATACATACATATATATATATATATATATATATATATATACACACACATATGTATATATATATATATATATATATATATATAACAAATAAAATTAAAATAAAATTGATTTACCTGTTTCTACTTAAATTTCGCGAATATTGCACCCACTCGTTGTCTCAGAGTGAAAAATTTGAAAGTAAATTTTATTTATTACTGTTAAAGCTCTAGATATTGAGCAATTTTATTACAAAGTGCTTACCTTAAAATCGTTATCTTCCAGAAATACTCTGATCGAGGTTTCTTTTTTAAAACACAATCTTCGTTCATATATATATATATATATATATACTTGTGTGTGTGAGTATGTATGTATGAGAAACCAGTTAGTTGTGAAGAAATGGTTGTGATTCTCACTGTATGTTCATTAACAAACAATAGAGATTTAATTCTGCAGTGCACTATTCCCTTACAAAGAACAATCAGGGAACACCCAGTAATAATTCAATATCGATAAAAAGTTTTAAGTCTAAATTTAGGTCGTTATTTAACGTTCCCTTTGTTTCTTTCTGACCTGAATCTCCTTGCCGTATTCTAATTGACGTATGCGATCTACTAGCGAAAGTTCTTCCATTGTCATGATATTACATTCTTCACTCCCGATGGAAAATTCATTATGCCACCGACTGGCAGCAATTCTCAGTGGATTCTCATTATTATCCACGATCCTTCTAGTTTGGTTCAGGCCATCCCCGGTAAATGCAGTGCCACGTACGGGATCAGGATCGAACTGCCGGTACTTGATATATGAACAGTAGTCTTGTACCAGTGAGAGTAATGATCGATAATGGTGAACCTCGTCAAAAAAATCCGATCCCTCGGTGCGTATAGCGCGCCAGAAGCGTGGTCGGAAATAGTCGTAAAGGGCGCTGTCAGCGGGCGCTTGTTCTCGGCGGAAGCGTTCTTGCTGTTCACTGGTGACTCTGATTCGAGGTCGGTTCTCACCGGAGTTTCGTTTTATATATAAAATATCGGTGGTCTTCCAACAGAGGCGACGCCGAAGTAGTACCATCGACTCATCAAAGTATTCCATGAGCAAGACAAGATGGAAGTCAGCGTCGATACTGGTTATGAATTCTTGAACTTTTGTTGGGCTGTAGAACTGAGACGGAGGAAGGCCAAGATCAAATGACATCCGATTGGCAGTGAAGAGAGTCGGTGTCTTTAAAATCGCTTCCATTAGATCATGAGTCGCAACTTTAGGAAATAACTTGTAGTAATAGACAGCCGAAAGAACCTGACTTAAAGGTCTCCGTATCATAGTGAAAAGAGTATAATCGCTTATATCAATCGTAGTTCGGTTTGTGTCTATTCGAGACCCGCACCGGTTGTCCTTGGTGTTTTCGCCAGACATTACCAAATTCTGGTTGCAGGACCCTTTAGTTTCATTCTCGGTATTTTCGTGAACGATTCTTCGACCGGTTAAAGCCGTATGGAATGCCGATCTGTTGTATACAACGTGATTACAAAGGATGTTAATGGCCTTCTTTTCGGGTGGAACTAGGATCCTTGGTGAAAGCTCCAGAGTAGTGTGCTTACCAAGGTAATTGTCTTCTAAGGGAAGTATGAAGGTCAGGTTTCGCGCCAGACCGTAGCGTTGAAGAATATTCATAATCGAAGTGCTCCCAGTTTTGTGCACCTGCGCAAAGAAGATATCAGTAAGTTAAAAATGTAAAAATTTTTATTTGGTAAAACAAAACTTGGTGGAGGTGATGTTCAAATAGAAAGCTTTGGCGGTGTTGATGTTAATTTCTACTGCTGTAGTTTTTCAAGCGAAAATTTAAAAGAATTAAAGAAGATATTGTTCATTCATATGAATTCATAAATTTTAAATGCATTGTCACCATATTTGTTCTAACATTTCATAACATAGCCGTCGGGATATTTTGCATATTGAATCTAATTCAGGGTTTCTTTATACTTCTTATTTAAGTCCATACTTTAAAAGGTTGTTTTATTGTAAACAGTGAATAGTTCACAGAAGAATGACATCTTGGAAATGTACGCCTACCTGCTTTTGACAAATGGACATCATTCCTTCTTAACGTAATCTGGTGGGGAGATATAGATATTTCCTCAACTTTCATCTTTTCCGTTTGTTGCTACACCGTGCCTATACGTAATAAATAGCTATAATATTACCACTGCTTACCACTTAAAAAAGATTCAAGCCATAAATGTTTGCATCACGTTAAACTGTTTACAGCCATAAATATTTGTCTCTCTTTTGTTCTTTTTTCAATTTTAATGGCTGACAACAGTAGTAAAGAAACGAATCTCAAGTGCCGCGTTCGGAGCTGTACGCAGATTATTTGCAGACGCTTTGCATTCCTATCTATCTATCTATCTATCTATCTATCTATCTATCTATCTATCTATCTATCTATCTATCTATCTATCTATCTATCTATCTATCTATGTCTTTTCATATTTATCTATCTACATACTTCTCTCTGTACACATCTGTCTGGATGGGTGGATTAACATTTTTAGTCACCGTTTTATTTACATTACTAGTCTTGAATTATTTATTAAGAGACACTTTTATAGGAGCACTTTTAAATACTTAGCTTGTATTGAAGTATTTTTATGCACATTACAACTTTGAAGGACATTTAAGTGTCTAGCTTTGCAAATTCTTAGTAGGAACATTAAGACAAGCTCTACAACGAAGTTCGTTCTCGCTTCCTGTACTATTAGGCAGCTGATGTGACGAAACAAATGATAAGGATAAGGATAATTTGCAGAATCGGGTAACAATTATTATTTTTTCAAACTAAATCTGATATTTATATCCCTGATTTGGGAATCTTTCTAAAGAGAAAAGTGATAATAAATTATGAAAATTTGAAGTCATACATCTGAGGAAAACTGGATAATTTGCTCGAAACGTAGTCGTCAAAACTAGAGTATTAGCCAGAATAATTCATGTAATAATAACAATGCTTCTTCTTATATTTTCTCGAAATTTAAATTGAACCCTAGGTAAACGCATACAAACTGAAAAAAAATAGAAGGAAAAATCTGTGAACACGAGTTATATCGATTTCTGTAAAATTACCGCTTTCCACCACATCCGTGTACTGGATAAAGTCTTGCTGAGCTTATGTTCCAGGGCAGACAGTTTAGGGCAAAACTACCCGAAATGGTACAGAAATATTATGATAAACGTATGTTAAAGCAACACAAAAAAATAAAATGCCACTAAGGAAAAAAGAGGGACACGAAATATCGTACGTTATCAATTGGGGATAAACTACTATTAGGTCATAATAATTTAAGTCATAAATAATTTTCGTTTTCGGGAACCAATTGTAATGACGAAAATATACTAACCATACATAGCAGCTAAGAATAAATTTGGAGTGCACTAACATATGACAATGTTCAGCGCAAGAAGTAGTGGATAAATCTCCACAACCGACTCCAAAAGCTCAGCTCCATATATACGCGTCCCCGAATATGTATGTAGTTATTTACTAAGCTTAATTTTATCGGACATAAAACTAAAATTGTTGAGCATCCAGTTAGAATGGAGCTTATTAGCACTCGCCTGCAAAACTAACTGACCACTACTCTACGGTAGGGCACTGTATGTACGTACCTATTTGAAAAGCCTAGCTGAGTCCTGCACAAGTCTAGAATAGTTGGGTAAAGATCGAAGTCATTCACCCTCACCTGCACATCAAACCAGTTAATCATCGCTTTATTGTTGGTTTCTGTGTATACACATATAGATAGATTGATATTTACTGCACTTACTTAGTCTGATAGAAAGTCATAATAATGTAGTGGCAATTGCCTTGAAAACGACTATTAAGTTGAGTCATAATTAACTTCCGTTTTGGGAACCAATTCTATCATCCTAATTGTTCTTTAAATATATCATAACAGGTGGTAGGTGGTACAAATGGCTTACATACAGCAATGTTCAGCGCAAAATATTTCGTCTCAAAATTCTAAAAAATGGCTAAAAAATTGCCCTGCATGTTATATGTGAAGTTGAAGTCTCCCGTGGTTAATTCTATCATCAATGCTCACTACCGTAGGCTGTAATTTTTACCACAGATGATCACTTCTACCGAGCCTAACTCGATAATAAGATTATTTTACGCAGACATTATTATTATTATTATTATTATTATTATTATTATTATTATTGTAAAAGAAATTGCCGTATCAAAGTACAGGCAACTTTTTTGGTACCGGCATATCTGTTATGCCTGAACATGCCTCCTGCAATTAACCAGCTAGAAACTACTGAAAAAAAAAGAGACGTAACAGAAAGGAAATACTCCTAATGGTAAAACACTAGCCTATGAAATATAACATTAAGACAACATAGATATATGTCCGTCATACGAAGCGACCAAAGTATAACGACTGGTGAAAGAGTGGGTGTATTTTATATTTATCTGCACTGCTATCTTGCTTTTTATGTATAGTAATGTTTTCTGCCATGGTTAAAGTACCTTGGTAATGTTTTGTAATGTACTAATAGCTTGCTTTGAACATTTCATGCTTTAATACGCTAAAATGTTTTGTGCTTCTGAATATGCCTTGCTGGCATACGTTTAGTATGCTCGTGCCTCTTTTGTGCCCTTTTGTATTTACTTCAGAATGTATTTGCTTTTAGTTATTTTGTTGCTGTAATGCACAATGCAACACAACTACGTTTCAAAATAACCGATATTTTCGTCTACCAATGGATTAGAAACATCAAATTATCGTAATATATAACAATAAATAATTATAAATGCAATTAAATTCCATTGCAGCAGACATTTTTGTAATTAAACAGATTATTTCAATTCGTGGTTTTACATTCAGTCGATATGTTCTTTGATCTTCCTTAGTTGTATATTTTATTGAAGGGCTCTTAAAGTTCTTTTAGTCATTTGTATTTTTATATTGTCAAATAGGCTAGCACAGATTAACTGTTTTAAGAGACTGAATTCTAACATTTCGTGTCCATAAGAGAATTTCCCAACAAGATCTGAAAAAACAAAAAAAAAACTATATTTGTGATGTTCTTACAGAGAACATTGAAAAGCAACCTCTAATGATCACTACCGGATTCAATGTGCACTGGAAGAATGCTGGACAACGTATGGGTCGAAATATGTTAAAAACAATAAAGTTAAGAAAACTTGTCCGAATAATGTTTATACTTCATATCATCATTTCACACAACAGTTATCGAAACAATGTGAAGATATTTGATCAGCTTCAAACTCCGTATGGTCAAATGTACAGTTGCTGGAAGAAATGGCACTTCATTCGGATTTTCGGAAAAGTAGAATCTGTTATGATATTATTTTTTGAACATCAATCATTTCCCAGTAGGTATTGTTATTATTTTTACACACACCAGCGATGCGGTTACAGATGGACGCCTTTTTCCTATTTGTTATGAATCCGTTCTTAAAAGTGAAGACATTGACACAAGTTGTAATGGTGGCGTAAAAGTGCGCACATTTTGATTCAAGGTGAAATGTTGATTGGTAAAGATAGAAGATACGCAAGAGGCTGCCTCAGAAGTAAAAAAAAAATCCACGTCTATTTTTTGTTAGCTTTTGAGAGAGAGAGAGAGAGAGAGAGAGAGAGAGAGAGAGAGAGAGAGAGATAGAGAGAGAGAGAGAGAGTATGTATGTGCGTGTATGTGTGTGTGTGTTGAGGAATGAAAATTATTTTTTGCTCTTTTTTTTATGAATGTTCAATGTGTTACCTCCAATTTGGATTTGACTTACCTTTATAAAGACAATGTATTTTTGCGGCCGACAGGAAGTGACGTCAATGATGTAAGTATTCAGCAAGGAAGGTCGGGAAAAAAAGGTCACATATCCCATCATGAAATACACTACAATAATGACCAGGAACACAAGGGTGAAGAAGGCGAAGTTCAGCCATGGTCTTACATGAACGGCTCTTCTTGCGAAAACATAAATAACAAATAAGTAAAAATAAATAAAAAATTAAAATTAAATTAAAACATTCAAAAAGCAGAGAGAATCTATTGTTTAATTTTCAGAACTGTACCATCGACGAATTCCTGTCGAAGTTTTTACATACATTCTTCTGAATAGGTTGAGAATAAAGTTGGAAATTGCTTAGAGGAAAAACTATAAAGGCTTTTTAGAAACGATTGGATGAAAAATGTAAGCGACTACCTTTTCTGGAATAATCTTGTTTAAATATTAATGCATGTTTCTCTTGTGAAATTGCCCTACTTGTCGGAAAAAAAACTGCTAACGACGCTAGACAGCGTTGCCAAAAGAGTATAAAAGAAAAGGTCGCAAAAGTCTCATGTTCTTTCTTTCTCATTACAAACAGGATGCCTTAGAAATAGGGTTTGTTTTGTTCCTATCTGGGAGAGGAAAGTCTCCAGTGAACAATAAGTCATATTTAACACAACATAGTCTAAATGCTTAAGCCTACTTGACGATATACATACCATATATAATACTAAGAACTTTTCTTAAATGTAAGCATCTCACAATATTTCAAAGAAATTTTGCACAGGCATAAGTACGTATAAGGGTATACACACCCTCGTTTATCCCTTCTGCATCTTTTAATTTAGTTTCTTCAAGTAATAAAAGATATTGTTAATTACTTTACGAATTTAAGTGCAGTACTAGATTGGCAACAAGGTCTCATCAATTTAGACTTGAATTGGCTCGGTGTAACCTTAAGTTATTTGCTAATAGTTTCTTTTTTCGCACTTCTCGCGAAACTGTTCCGGCTTTTTGATTTCCAACCAACTTTGATCTTCCAAAGTATAAATGCAATGTCAATCCTTATCTACTGTCTTTGATTGATTGATTGATTCGTTTTATACGACTCATCAACACTTTGCAGGGTATTTAAATCCAGAATGCATTTTAGATTGTAAGATTTTTTTTTGAGAAAATAATGGTTTTAGTGATACCAATCTTAATAATTAACCTATATCTGGGGGAGAAGAGCTGAAATCATACCTTTCCCAAGGTTATTTGCAAGTAAGTGAATATAACGAAGCCAATGGGAACTGGAACTCAGCTCTCTGATTAACAATTCCGAGCCATTATTCATTACACCGCCCGCACATCCAAGTTTAGATCAAGCGGCCACCCATCTAGATACTGATCTTAACTTCGGTGATCGTATTGGGAAGCGGTGCTTTCAACGTGATATGGCCGTAAACACCTCACTGTCTTCTTGATTCCTTTTCATTTATTGCTCTTGCTCCATAATAATGTTTTTCTATTTCTTATTCTGTAACCCCTGTGTCTTAGTTACTTTATTGCCTTGCTTGGGTGAAATTATTTAAAAAATGTTTGTATATTCTTTCTTACGCTCTCATTTGAAGAAACTCTAATGCGATCATTATATTATATCCTCAATAAATGGTACCATTTCCTCTGATAATAGTAATACAGTCGTAGGTCGAACGCAGTAGAAATTATAGCGTCATAGTGAACTTCATGATTTTGTTGATGGCTGCATAGAATGTCCTACGATAGGGCTACGATTTTTTTAATCAATTCACCTCAAGCAAGGCGATAATGCCACTACGTTACAAGGGGCTACTGTAAGTAAAAGGCTTTAGAGGGAACCGGAAACCCAATTCTAAACAGGAAACAAGGGATAAACTTCTACTGTTCAGAGTTATCATTCTGCTAGACTGGTTGACAACCATAGCTAAATAGTCCAGCCTGACCTCTTATTTAACACATAGGGGAGGGAAGAGAGTACATTTTCCGAGGATATTTGTGCGAAAGCGAATATAACGAACTCAGCTGAAGTTCGAACTTAGTCCGCCGATTTCTCGTTCCGAACCGCTAGCCATTACGCTACCTGCACTCCATTCCCTCTGTGCTCTGATATTTTTCTAATAACCTTTTTAAAACTCAGCTAAAGAAACAAAAATACTACAGAGTGAAGAAATTTTATTTAAAATAAACAAATTAGCTATTTGCTTGAGTAGACTTACATACATGCCCTCATGCACCGAGAAATCCCAGCTCCGAAGTAATGAGACAAACAGTTTTAATATCAATAATCCATCTTAAGACATTGAGTCAAAAGCTCTTATTTAAGTGTAGTACTCCACTATTAATTAGTCGGATTAGTATTCTCATAATAATTATTAGTTAAATTTAATCGATTAAATATTTTCATTATTATTAATTTTTTACTGGTTTTTCATCACAAAGAAAATAGAGCTCGGTTGCTATGTGATATCTATCCTCTTATATGGCAGTGAATGCTAAACAATCTCCCCATGGATGAGGAGAAATTGGAGCGTGTAAGCAACAAGGAAGTCTGGAAACAAAAAGAACACTGATATTCAGAATCAGGAAGAGACTGATGAAATTTCTTGGACGCATAACGAGAAAGGAGGGCTTGGAAAACTTGACTTTCACAGGGCTTACTTAGGGCAAGAGAGATAATGGAAAGCAGTGAGCCACCTACCTCAAGATCTTATGTGAAGGAATAGCGAAACGAGGGCAGAAGCCTTAGCAAAGGGACGCGGCACGAAGAAGAAGAAGAAGAAGAAGAAGAAGAAGAAGAAGAAGAAGAAGAAGAAGAAGAAGAAGTTTTTCATCCATCTCATTTTTGTTACTTTTCTACGCTCTAATTTTACGCAGGCAGCAAGGATCTGAAATAAAGAATTAATTTCCGACGATATTTGAACTCGCATCTTTAAATTTGGAAGCCTGTCTGACGGGCAGCGATGCACCAGTTCGGCGGCTAAATCTAACTAGCATAATCACCCAACTTATTTTATCTATCAGCCTGATGATCATAATTTTCACTTTTTACTACACGGTCTTTCATTCAGTTCACACACCATATTTATCATAACCATTTTAGCAGTAATCTGGAGTGGCTCTCGAGTTTTGTAATTGATGAAGTTTAGTAGGAAACAAGTCATATGAAGATATTTTTTCTTATCCGATTTAGTCCACGATATATTTTTTTGCAAGAAAATATTCACAATTTAAAACAACTATTTTACAGTCAAATTTTTACAATCAAACTTTTATTGATGAAGAACTGAGAGGATGTTGATCAGTTCTCAGTCTGAGCGACTTCCCCAAATCGGTCCGAATGGTCAAACATCAGATATTTTTTTGGTGGTTGGGTGGGCTTGAACATATATTGTTTGAATGTCCGTTCTATTTTGCTTGAAAACATTTATTTTTGCCAGAAAGTTTGACATTACAAGTATCGACCGTTGTGTTGTGTTGAGATTGTAAAATGCATCTACTAAAAAACTATAAGTTCTATTCTCACAGTGCAAATTAAAACCGTATGTGATAGCTCAACCAAAGGAAGTAAATAAAGCATCTATCCTGTATATTTAAAATAAAAATCTGAGCTATCTTTCACACCAGCGTTCCTAATACTTCGTTTTTAAATGTTAGTACCGAGAAAGAAATTTATTGGAACACGATTATCGATAACATTTTTCGGCAATTAAAAATGACGATATCTGAAGGGTTTTCTAAAATGTGTTTCAATGAAAAAAAGATTATGACTAAAACAAAAAAAGTTTTTATCACAAATATCTATCTGTATGGATAAATGATTTGTTTTACTTACAGAAAGGGCATATTAACCGCATATATTCTGGTCCACTTGTAAATTGAACAGTCCAGTGAGAACAGGTAGTGTTTTACAATCTTAGGTACAACTGTCCACACCACTCCGCGCAAACTGACACGCGTAGAGTGCGCGTGCGTGCGTATGTGTGTGCGTATGTGTGAGAGAGAGGTAGAGATGGTAGAGGTAGAGAGGGACAGGAAGCTAGAAAAAAAGAGATAGATAGAAAAGAGATGCTTTCATCGAATATTTTTCAATGCTTAGCAAATTGCTAAGTAACAACTATTAAGCATGTATTATTATTATTATTATTATTATTATTATTATTATTATCTTCTTTTTCTTTCTATTTAATCAGTACAATACCTAATTGTAACAATCCAATGGTTATATGTACAGCAGTAGTTTTAAGGTCCCAACCCTTTTCAATTTCAATTTCAAAAATCCTTAAGGCTTACGGTCATATCACGTTGAAACACCAGTTCCCGTACAATCACCGATGTTAAGCAACGTAGAATCTGGTCAGTATCTAGATAGATGACTGTTTGGGAATACTAGGCACTGTAAGATTGAATGTGCGAGAGGTGTAATGGATAATTCGGAATTGTTAATTGAAGAGTCGAGTTCCAATTCCAGTTGGGTTCGTTCTATTCACTTACGCGTAAATACTCTTGAGAAAGGTATGAATCCACATCTTCTCCCCCCCCCTAGGCTAACTAGTAAGACTTCTGCTATAGGTTAACTAATAAGACTTCCATAATTAAACCATTAGTATCTCAAAAAAAAAAAAATCTTACAGTCTAAAATATTTTCTGACTTTAAATAACCCGTGGATAAGACGTAGAAAATGAATGAATCAATCAAGATCCTTATATCTACTGATTTCGTCATTTCCTTTAACATACATCTTTTTATCTGATATACTACCATATTTATTTGTTTGTAGTTTTTTTTATCATTATGTCTTGTCAATTCAGCTTTTATATATCTGTTAATATCAATGGTAAATTTCCTATGAATATAGAATTCATGGCCTTCTCTGACAAGTTTAGCGTGATGTTCAAATAATTTTTCATATGTGGCGCACTATAATACTGACATATCTTCCAATGAATATACTGTTCAATCTTATAATGTTGATCTTTGTATTCGTTCGGTGTCAGGATTCGTCAATCAGGCACTAGGCGATCGACATTTTTAAATACTTGCATAATCTGCCTACTCATGTGTACCATTTTCTATTCTGTTTTTCATGTAATTACTGGCTAATAGGATTTATTATAACATAATAATTCTGCTTGTTCCTTAGTTTCTTAGAGTTTAGCGCGTACTTTACGTCTTGCCATTACCTCAGATAAACAATAAGACATTCCTGCTTGACCGTGAGGACAGACGGAAGAAAAGATATATCAGAGGTGCTGTTTGGTCTAAGGGAAAGAAAGAAAGAAAAAAGAGATAGAGGAGATAATAACATTCTCACGTATATAACGTCTGCTTCAGTGAAATTGAACACCTTGTCAATTTTGAATCTTTTCATTTGTACCCTCTTACTTTGTTAAATCAGGACATACATCTATATTTATGCCTGTTATTTAATATGTTTTTAGGTTGTTGAGCTCCACTACTTAACGATGTAAGAGAAGAATTTTTACGGGTATTTTAAAGCAGTGGGGCTCGCAAGCATTAATATAAGAATTGTTTAATAAGAAAATTAAAACAGCAAAACTTTTCACGAGTATTGCTAGTTATTATTATTATTATTATTATTATTATTATTATTATTATTATTTCATTCATTTGAATATTCAATCCAGATGTCTGAAAATTAGCAGTGAAGATTGAGTGACAGCAAGTCGTCTCAAATCTTCAGCAATTTTCTCAATATCTCTTTAAATCGCACCGCTCGTGATTTTGACAGTCTCAGTTCTTCAGCAAATCTCTAATTCATTCAGATTCATCTTCAGTATTGTTGGCACGGTTTCAAGTGCTCCACTTAATATAAGAATGATCGTAATCTTCATGTTCTATAGTTTCTTCAGTTTCAAGATGTCCTGCTATTTTTTCAATATTTAACTTTCTTTGTCTTCACCTCGTGATTCGCTGAGGCAGTCAGATCTGTGAGTTGGGATTTTTCATTTCCTTGTACAATTCTGGTCTTCTTTCTTGAACGGAGTGGTCGGTGTGAATCCCAGAATCCATTCTTTTTATTTTTTCAGACAGCCTCTGGTCTGTGTTCATAGTTATTTCTTTTAATCATTTCACCAAAGCAATAAAGCCACTAGGACACAAGAAGTTACTGAATGTTAGAGAATATGAGAACAAACTACTATTAAGGAGATAGGACAATAAAAGAATACAGAAGATAACAATTGACGTTGCATTTAAATTTTTGAAGATCCAAGTTGAATGGGAAGCAAGAAGCCGGAAGAAAGTTATACAAGCGAAGAATGAACTAGAAGAAACTTAGCATAGAACTTACGGTTACATCTAGCCATTTCAACTATAAATTGATGAGACCTAGCCGCCAGTCTAGTACTACGCCTAAATTCATAAAGTCTAGGTACCATACAAAAAAGTTCATTAGAACAATTACCATGAAAGCATTTATAGAGGAGACACAGGGATGCTATGTTTCGGTGGTGGGAAAGGGACTGGAGCCGAGACGCCAGGTCAGGACAAATAACATTACAGATTCTTCTTCTGATTTTATCAAGAATCCCTAAATATACAGCAGGAGCACCATACCCGATGTGGCAGGAATATTCAAAGCAAGGAAAAATATAAATATGTAAGATAGATGGCGAAAAAAATGTCTAGCACAATATTATTGTCATTTATATTACTAGCGTAATACCTGTAAATATGACGAGATTATGTACGTGTGGATCAGGATTTGACTGGGATAAGAGTGTCCTTTCCAGGCTTTTGTCTATCATGTGCACACGCTGTTTAACTTAGTATTTGCAAGTTAATTTTACCATATCATAACCCCTCCCCCCTAAAAAAAAACAATGATGGCATTATGGGCGTAACATTTGAGTACTTACTTTAACGTCTGAGTTTTAAGCTAGGGTAGATTTTCTTTGTTAATAACAAATATACCTGCTTTAGCGTGGCAGAAGTTATTGAGAAAAAAGTAAATAATTGTCCCGCTATTTATTATTTTTAAGTCAAAATACACGACAAAGTTCACTGCTGCACATCATTAGGACTGTAGGGCAATAATAATCAACCGAAGTCTGAGACACCTTTGCATTGCAATATGAAAGGCAGCATCAAAGACACTCACTAGTGTCTGTAGTAACAGCCGATAAAACTGGGCAATTTCTGCGCGATGAAACTAGCAATCATCTGTTGTGTAGGGGCGTTCTATATTAGAAAGTCTATGTGCCTTAACTATCCACATGGGGTGACAAATAAATCTGTAATATTATATAGATGTCTAAATTACCAAATTCAAGTTATAACATGCCTTGAGGTCATATATATATATATATATATATATATATATATATAGAGAGAGAGAGAGAGAGAGAGAGAGAGAGAGAGAGAGAGAGATTGATTGATTAATTGATAGAAAGAAAGAAAGAAAGAAAGAAAGAAAGAAAGAAAGAAAAGGAGGGCATAAGTACATTCATTTGTAGATAATCTTGTAATCTACGCATTTTATTTTTCGCCCCAATAACGTTTCGTGTTTTAAGACTAAGGAGTCTCTTTTGGTCGATTTGAAGAATAAATGAGTTATTATTCATTTAATCTTTTATCTGGAACGTAGAAATCATAATTGTTCAGTGGCGTACACAGTGTTATTCATTTAGTTTAATATTCGGAAAATATTAAACATAGACATAAAAAATGTCGAACAAGTTTTTGATATTTTATATGTCGTCGTCGTCGGCTTTATCTCGTATTCAAAAATGTAACTTCTTTACTGATCGCTTCATTTATGATGATAGTATTGATAACTACATTCACTGCCAACGTGCTGGTTCAGGAGTAGAAGAAGAAAATCAGGGTAGAAGAAAGTGACGATGGCATGAATTTGTTTATGGTCGGCCTCAACTTGTCAGGAAGTGACCCATACACTTGATTTCATAACTTTTCTCTGCGGCACATATGGAATGAGACGTGCAGAATCCAGTTATGAAACTCTAACGGACTGCCGCTGACTGTTATTTCGAGTGGCGCCTTCTGTAGCATGTCCGTCATGCGTAGCCATCTTCATTCGCTGGTTCAAGCGTTGAGATCTGTTTTAATGATCATCCGCTTATTCCGCCGTTGGTGTCCTTGGGGTTGCTTTCGCTTAATCTGGGTCCTCAACTTCGACCATTTCGACAAGGGTGGTCCTACCAAGAGTTTATAACTCCCGACGGTGTCGTTCTCAGAGTCATTGTACCTTGCAATCCCCTTCAACACGGCAAAAAGCGAGCATCAGAGGTACACACAGAAACATAGACGCATAGACATACATATATATTTTACATTGGATGTCGGAGTAAACAGATCAAATGTTACTTTAATGACAATAATAGAAATAAAACAATCAATAAGAAAAGAATTAAAAGTATAAAATCATCATCAAATATATGAGAATGATTTTTATTATTCTTGTTGTAAAAATATTTGAAAAATAAATAACAGAGGACGAAATTGACTATTCTGAACCAATAGTAAAAAAATAATTAAATAAAACGAAATAATATTACAACTCGAAACGCTTTTCCTATAAATTTGAAAATATGTCCTCGTTTGTAAAAAATGTTACAGTATATATTTTACAATCACTAAATAAAAATAGGATAAAAGAGTAAAATGATCGACAATTGTCAAAAATCTTTGAATGATAAATGATAAGGAAATAAATCTACAATACTGAACCAATAGTCAAAGATAAACAAAACACACATTACAACTCGAAATATTTTTCCTACAATTTCGAAAAGAGAAATGTTACGCTTCAATATTATAAATAGTGTAGAATTATTCATGCCAAATTATAAGTAATTAAATAAAAATGTTGTTCTATATCATAAATACCAGTGTCAGTGTATCACACTTTTTCAGTTAAAGGGACACAACTCTTATTAGCTCATCTTCTATAGAACAAGTGCCAATGTCAGTGTGTCACTGTGTTACATTTTTCACGCTTTACTCCTAGAGGCCGTAGCTCAACATATCATACCATTTTGGAATCAAGCCGACTCCGGGAGCAAATTAAAAACATTCCAGGCCGGATTCGGGCCACAATCCTGAATTTTTGATTCATAAATTTTCATTACTGCAATTGTTTTGGGCGATATTTTTACGTGATTTTTTGCGACGAATTTTTTGTATGATAACAATTTTTATAAATTAGAAATAGATTTGTGAATAATCGAAATTAATTGCGAAATCCAGTGAAAGTCCCCCATGAAATAAAAGCGACGAATTTTTTGTATGATAACAATTTTTCTAAATTGGAAATAAATTTAGGAATAATCGAAATTAATTGCGAAATCCAGCGAAAGTGCCCCATGAAATAAAAATAATTGTTTGTACGGAAAGTAAGGACGTGTGTACATCAAATT